TATAATGATAAGATAAATATAAAAGATAAATTATAATTTTAACGATAATACTAATATAATAAATAATGATAATAAAAAATAAAAATAAAATAAATAAAATAAAAATGTTAACTAAGTTAAAAATGTTAATAATGTTAATAATATTGATCATTCGTCAATATTTATAGCACAGTAAGATTGACTTCATATGGTATCATCGAGTTTAAATCAAATTGAGTTATATTTTTTTGACTTGATGATTTGCAAGTTATGCTAAATTTTAGTCAAATTAAATATTTAATTTGACTTGATTTAAACTCAAATTGAACTCGACTTGACTTAATTTAATCTTACTTTTTAAGGATATATAAATCAGTTTGTCTTAAATCAATTGATTTATTGATTAATTTATTTTTTCTTTCTTCTTTTCTTCTTTTTTCCTTTTAATCAATTCTTTTTTTTATATTTGATTAATATTTTAATTTTTAAGGTATTAGCTCTGTAAGAAATATTATTATTTTTTTTAGATTTAAGAATTAAATATGCTAATTTTATCATAATTTTATCTTAAATAATTTAATACATTAAGAATAATGCAAAGAAGTTAGGACACATCAAATAAAAAAAAGGAAAATAAATAAGAATAATACAACATTTTATCAAATAAGTATGTATGTAATTACTTTCTTCAATTCATTTACATTTATTATATAATTATTATAAACTATACAATAATAAATTAAATTTTTTAATTATAATACGTACTATTTAAGAATATTTTTTAACTTTATGTATTTAATCTCTGCATTATTAAAGTATTATAAAATTTTGTACTATGAATATCTATATAAATATGTGAAGTAATTTTTAATTTCCATCATAAATATTCACAAATTCTTTAAATTCTTTTACTAAACTCAAACACTATACAAATACTTTTCAACTTTTCTTATTTCTTTATTATTAATCTTAGTTTTAAAATATCTCAAAGCAATTAAATAAAATCTATATCATTTTATAATAATTTGATCTTAGGCAGTAAAAGGAGACTTCTGTATCATTAACTATATCAAGAATCTCTAAAACACATGTGAAGTCTGAAACTGAGCATGATGTTAAGCTAATATTATCTAAATTGTTTAAGAGAATAAGAGTTAATTTGAGCTTATCAGATATTTAGAGAAACTTTCCAATAGATGTTGATGGTAATTTTTTTATTCTTTGTTTTATTGAAATTATTATTATTTTTAATTAAGGAATCAAAATAGGTGATGGAGATGAAATAACAAAATAATTGAAGAAGATTATAAAACAAAATACAGAATTGAAGGTGATGAACAATGAATTATTAGAAAGGCAGAAGGGGATGATAGGATAGATGATGAAAAAGATATAGATAAAGACTTTACCAGAGTAATAAAAATTTTTATTTATAATATGTTTATATTATAATTTTGTTATTTACCATTAAATGTTTTAATTTATTAGGAAATAGTGAATAATGTGGCAAAAGTCTTATTTCATGATATAATTTATCCAACCAAGGACGAATTTCGCGAGGCATTGAGAAATATTTAGCTGAAAACTACGCGAATTTTTATAATAATTTAAGTGAAAAACGCAGGACCATTTTTTATAATAAAAATATACATTAACAGGTAATTTTAGAACAATTTTGCTTTATTCATCTTAAAATTTTAAATTAAGAAATAAATTCATTTTTTAAATAGATGATGTATAAGCGGGTCATTGACTTCTCGAACCAGAGAAGAATTATTCAGCGTATATGGGGATTCGATAATAAATATTTTATGAATAACTACAATTTGATAATGAAATGTTAAATATATTTTACTAATTCAATTATAAATATTCACTAAATTACCTAACAACCTTGATAATATTTAGTAATGAAATCGCGAATTTTAATAACATTTCAACAAAGTTATTACATATACGGCTACTATTCATTACACGCTCACCTACGTCACTACGATTTATCAATAATTTGTAAATTTGAATCGTGGCTATCATTTTAATATCAAGTTACTATAGCCATGACCAGCTCATGACTCAATTCGTGACTTACTAATCATGTTTCTGTAAAGAAACATTAAATAGAATAAAAATAACATGTTGTTTGAGCACGTTTATTACTGTCTTTTTAAAAGAAAAGAAAAAAAAGATATCATAAAATATTTAAACTAAAGCATGTGACGAGTCAAGATGAATTTGTATAAAAAAAATTTCTCATATTAAAAATTGGCATGATTAAATTAAAATAATAGTCGAAAGCGGCAATACATAACTTTTTTTATATAATTATCAATCGAGAGAGATTGATTCAATTATTAATTCATTTTCTTTTGAATTTTACACTTATTTTCTAATGAGTTAATAAAATTTAAAACATTCTTAATAGAATTTTTATTTTTAATAAAACTAAATAAAGAAATAAAAATAAATTAAAATAAAAATAAAAATACAAAAAATACAAAAATTATAAATCAATCTTTAATTGACATCAGATTTAAAACTTTATGAATAAAGAATGCTATATGCTAAAAAGATGAATAAATTATTAAGTGATCCTATGGATTTCGATGGAGCAATAATGAAAAATTGATATAATCATAAGAAATCAATAAAAATTGTTGGATACCATTGTAATGCAAAATCGAAGTGTAAGGTTTCGACTATTTGCCAGATACTATTTGTTAAAATGAGTTTTGACCGCTGTTGGCTTGGTAAACGATAAACTTTTAATTCGATCCGTCGAATTAAATACAAGACAATATCACAATCACGCCTATATGAAGACACGACAAAAGGCAATAG